GCCTGTTGGTGGCACCGATGATGAAGACGTTTTTCTTGGTGGACATGCCGTCCATCTCTGTCAGGATCTGGTTGATGACACGGTCTGCAGCACCACCACCATCGCCAATATTCCCACCTCGGGCCTTGGCAATGGAGTCCAGCTCATCAAAGAAGAGCACACAAGGGGCTGCTTGGCGAGCCTGCAAAGAGCAAATGGGAACCATGATTCCATGCTAATACCACCTAACAAAGAGCACACTTCACACTAAGCCTTCCCCTACCACTGAAGCAGCTCAGAGGAGCACCCGAGCACTGCTGCCTCAAGGAAAACCTGGAAGAGCTGCTCCAGAACAGTCCCTGTCACACAAATCCTCAGTTAAATTCTCCTGAACAAGCTGATTTTCCTCGAAGTGGGAGCATTTTGAACCAGTCAGAGGGGAGGTAACTCCAACACCTAGAGGGAAAGCTGGAGACATTTTGCTGGACTAGAACTTTCCCTGCAAGACCTGGGGATGTCAGGCACCTGGTTATTCAGGCACTCAAGTAAGCAAAATATATCCAATGGAAGCAGGAAGTCCAATTGCTGTCTTTGGCTACCTAATGTGTAGTTACAGGGAAAGGGAACTGGGTCTTTCTTCATGGTGTGCAGTGAAAGAAGAAAGACTACAGGCACAACCAGCTGCAGAGAAAATCCCAGTGAGAAATAAGGAGAAAAAATTGTTCCCAATGAGAGCACTCAGGCAACAGCACAGGTCCAGAGAGGACAGGTGTGGGAGTTCACGTACAAAGAGGCAGCTGCCATTAATCACGTGCAAAAAAGACCTTTATTGTTTATCTAAGTGATTCTCATATACCCATCTATTATAAGTGCCCACTCACCATTGGTTAACAACTATTACTAGCCCACCTTATACACAACATAATTGGTTACTAACATTATCAATCATAAAATGCCCCAATCATTGTTCTCCACCTCTAACCATCTGCAGCTTCTGCATTCCAGACCCAGGAGCTGCTTATCTTGCTGCCTTCTTTCTCACATTCCAGCTGCAGCAGTGTCCTTGAACAGCTTGGCTTGCAGCTTGCTCAGGCCCTGCTAGCAAGGCTGGATTGCTCACATGTCTGTTAGCAATCAGAGATTCTCCCACAGTCAGGGATTCTCCACCCTTCACATGTGTCCAGTCCAGAACACAAGGCACTGAGCAAACTGACTGAAGTTCCAAGTTATCTTCCTGCTCCAGACAAACCGCTGGACAATATGGTCTCTGAGGTTTCCTTCTAAATTAATTCATTCTTTCTCACTGTCCTTTCAACTTTGTTCTATCAGCACCTTCCCTGACAACAAGAGCAAGGATTCTGAGGATAATCCATGCAGACACTTTCTGCGACAGGAGGTTACACTATCCATGGAGAGCAACTGGGCAGGAGCGAGCTCCTCTATACTGCAGGACAAGAACCCACAGGATATTTGAGAATTTGTACATGGCAATGGCTAATGAGATGTTAAGGTAAGGTTTCAGGGATGTGAAGTATACCTGTGCCATCCTAACCCTAGCCTCTGCCAAAGGCACTGGGTATTTATCACCCTCTAACAACAGACAAACTGCAAACTGTCAAAGAAAGCAGTTTCAACACTATGCTGCTGAAGAGGATTCATTCCCTAACACCAGGAGAGCTGCTCTGGCTCTCAGGCAAGTGGGGAAAACACAGAAGACACACGTGAGAACCAGGTCAGTAAGACAAGATGCAGTGGAGACAGAGTTCTGGGGGTACCTCAGCGCAAACATAGCACAGGGTGTAGAAGAAACACTTACCTTGTCAAAGATCTCGCGCACGTTGGCCTCAGACTCGCCAAACCACATGGTGAGCAGTTCCGGCCCCTTGATGGAAATGAAGTTTGCCTGGCATTCATTGGCAATGGCTTTGGCCAACAGTGTCTTACCACAACCAGGTGGGCCATAGAACAGAACCCCTTTTGAAGGGGTCATGCCAAATTTGAGGAACTTGTCTGGGTGCTCCACAGGATACTGAAGGAAAACAAAAGAAAAACCTCTCTGATGACCAAAACAGGACTGTACTTTACAATCACACAATGGTTTGGCTGGGAAGGGACCGCCAAAGATCCTTCAGCCCAACCCCATTGCCATGGGCAGGGACACCTTTCTCTGAGTCAGTTTTGGTTCTCCTCCTACCAGAAACACCACCTGAGATTCCTGGTGGGTTAAAAACACAAGGTCCTGCCTGCCTGGTGCCACTGCAGTTTTTAAGTTGATGCTAGTCCATTAATTCAAAATCACCATGGCTAAGCTGGAAAAATGCCCTAAACAACCTATTTACCTCTAGGAACTAAGCACCAGTTCAGGTAGTTTTCCAGCACACTTAACCTCAGCTTCACTCTGCCCTGCAGAAGCAAAAGGGAACAGCTCATTACCTAACCTATTTGCTCTGCTCTCCAGAGACAGGCAAGGTGTCTGATGTGAGCCTTTATCCTCAGCAATGAGGTCAGATACAGACAGGTGATGATTTTAACATCAGAATATTAGACCGACATCTAAACAGAAATTTAGATTCTTTTGTTCCAGACAGGATGTTTCTACAGTGCCAACTGAAAGCAGGAACGTATCAAACCCAAACCATGCCAGTGCCTCCACCAGGAGCTTCCACAGACCTTTCATGACTTTTTGTTCCAGTCTTTCTCTTTTAGAGGGTTTTACAAATACATCTCACCACTCCCTGTGCTACTGCTGATGGGAAGCCCTTCAGAGGCTCTCTCTGTATGAGCATCTTCATCCACCGCTTGGCAGACAAAGCCACCACTCAGCAGTGCAACCACTCCTGGTCTCCACTTAAGAGAAACAGAACTGTGGCTGTTTCTGCATGTAGCACAACACCCACCCAAAATGTCACTGTAGACTCAGCTCAAGAAAGTCTGATGCTGCTTCCCAGGACCTTCCTCTCCAAGTTCACTGAGATGGAGCAGCGTGGTATGGATAGTCCATTACAAGCAGATACCATTAAACCCCCTGCATTCATCCTGTTCACAGCCAAAACAGAAGACTGAAGATGTTCTGGATTTTATTATTACAATTATCTTTCAAGCTGGCTAAGCAAAAAGTCTATCGTAAAGCCTTACCTGTACAAGCTCCTGGAGTTCTCTCTTTACATCTTCTAGACCACCAATATCTTCCCAGGTAACTTGTGGGACCTCTACCACAGTCTCCCGAAGAGCAGAAGGGTTGCTCTGGCTCAGAGCCCACTGTCATGAGAAGAAATGTTATTACAGGAGTTCTAACATGTTATGTTCACTTGCCTCAGAGAAGCAATTACTTGCACCCAGAAGAAAGAGGGGCACTCCTGCATTACCCTGAAGTCATCCATGGTCACAGCCAATGAGTTCATCACTTCAGCATCGATGGTTTCATCTTCTAGGTCTATGAGATCCATCTTCTTTCTGATAGCCTGAAGAGCAGCTTCTGAGCAAAGAGCAGCCAAGTCAGCACCAACATGGCCATGGGTCTCGTTTGCCACCTGAAAGCAGAGCACTGACTATGACTCACAGGGATACAAGCAAGGGCTCTGCAAGGGCAACACATGCTCCAGTCCCTTGCTGGGAATTGCAGCAAAGCTCTGGTTCTGCTGTCCTCCAGAGCTCTGCTGCGGATTCAAGACATGCACTACCACGTGTTTAACAGGCAAAGACACTATTGTTCCACCGCGTACTAGACATCAAAACTGCATCTGGAGTTCAGATAGTGTGCAGAAAGATATTCTGCACACATGAAGACTCCAGTTCTGCATTCAGAGATGACAGGAACCATCCAGCTTACAGGTGGTGTCACACCACAAAGCTCACCCAGCTGTGCGTGAGCCGTTTCAAGCCTGCTGGTCTTTTAAAGAGAATGCCACAGCAAACAAACCTGGGAGGACAAGGCAAGGCACTTACAGACTGGAACGATACACATTTGTTTCACTCAGCCATGCCATTCTTAACTAGTGAGTGAGTGAGGACTTCTGGTTGTTGGTGAACCGGTCAAAAGAAACCCCAGAGATCACACTTTCACGCAGTTTCATGCTGTACTAATTGAGCAATTACGTATTTGGTATCAAGCCCTAACAACTCTTCTACTACAAAACAGAGCACCGGGAACATCTGCCTGCACAGACAAGCTTCCCTAATAGCACACTACTCACCTGTTCCAGATCCACATCATCAGCCAGTTTCATGTTTTTTGTGTGGATCTGCAGGATCTCCAGGCGCCCAGTGGCATCTGGGATACCAATATCTACCTCTCTGTCAAAACGACCTGGGAAGTACAAACACATGTTAAACTGCTGATTCTGCACACTAGAGGAGCTGCAGTTGCTACCTTCCTCTGACTGAACAACATGAAACATGGCACAAGTAATTTCAGAAAATGCCAGAGCTTTGGGTTTCTCTGCAGCATCTATCAGCACAGTAGCAGAGTCAGATCAGAGAAGGAAAATAGGCTTCAGCCATTTAGGGAAAGTGAGACTACTGTATTAACCAGAGTTCAGGATTACGTATGACACATGATTGCTCATTTAGTAACTTTTTCTGAGCCTCATTTTTAGGGAAATATGTTTCCCTGAACTAACATACCATGAGATGAGTTTGTTTATTTCTACCTTTGTGTCCTCGTCACAAGATGAGTGAGAGATGTAATTTTTCAGAACTTTCACAGCAATCACAGTACCCAAGTGGTGAAACACAAGAACCCAGAGAGGCAGGAAACCACAGTATCCCTGCAGTATTTACTAAGGTATGTGTACCTGTATTTTTCATCTAGCCACAGCTGTGCTTTCAAATGGCTCACTACACATTTCGGAGGCCATTTCCCTCTGCACACCTAACAGGTTTGCTATTACAGGCTCTACCAGCAGGTCATAACCAGACATTCATTCACAATGCAACGCTTTGAAAACCTGAATCTCAGAAACTACTGTACTTCTCATTAATAAAAGAAATCAGATAATTCAGAGCCTTCTGTAATCTAAGGCATGAATAACCCCTTAGGCTCCTTAAGTGTGTCCTGAAATAGATTCACCTAACAGAGGCTAGACACTTTTCCACTTTAAAGTATTATTTCTACAAGCTCTCACCTAACATGGCACAGAAAATGAGACCAAAGGCTGGAAGCCTAGAAATTAATTTCTAGCAAGCAAATGGAGACAAGTCAATAGTTTATGTAACATACAGAAAATGTTTAGCATTAATTTGCGCTCAGTCCTTCTGGAGCCCCTGAAGCATGGCCTGAACAAAGTAGGTGACACACAAGAAAGAGATGGCAGTGCACTTACCGAATCTCCTGAGTGCTGGGTCAATGCTGTTGGGTCTGTTGGTGGCTGCCATAACGATCACGTGTGCTCTCTGCTTCAGGCCATCCATCAGGGTCAGCAGCTGAGACACGATGCGACGTTCCACCTCTCCATGTGTCTGTGAGAAAGCAGCAGTTAGACCAACAGCTCTACCACAAGCAGCAGAGCATCGGAGCAGGCAACAGGCACAAGATGGTAACAAACATTGTGAACTGTATCTGATCCTTCTCATGTCCAACTGAAATCAGGTGTTAAGTAAACACTGCTTTACTCTGTAGTCAGACACAGAGATTCATGCCAGCTGCTACTAAAAAGGGTACTGCCACTGTACCTTATATGGGCTCTCTTTACCTTCTCTCTCTTAGGAGCAATGGCATCCAGTTCATCAATGAAGATGATGGCAGGGGCATTCTTCTCTGCTTCTTCAAAGGCTTTCCTCAGGTTGCTCTCAGACTCACCAGCCAGCTTGCTCATGATCTCAGGACCTAAAAAACAGTGACACTTTGACATCCAGCGGAGAGGGAGCTAGTCTCAAAAACATGCAGCTTAATTCTTTTTAGTACAACATTCACATGGGACAAGCTGTATTTCAAGCCAAAGCAAATACTATCGACCAATTTCACTAAATCTGCAGCTGAAAGGCAAGACCAGCATGCAGAATTACTTTCTATCATTATTTTGGTGTTTTCAGTTTACTCTAAGAGAATGCAGCACTAGTAATGAGCTACCTTTAGCTGCCTCTTTCCTTACCCTATTTCACACTTGGTGAGCTTCTCTGTAATGTGCCACCACACACTGTTAATGCCAGTCCTAGCTTGCAAGAGAAGCAATCAAATTATATAGTGATGAATTATCAGGGTAGAGAAGGAAAAATCCCTGTGAAGCTGCCTTAAGCTTACACTACACAGGTGTACATTTACCTCTAAGATCCTATGAATGAGTTAAAAAAAACAAACCAACCAACCAAAACAAACCAATGAAAACACAACCCCCATCTCCTCTCAAAGGATAAAAAGAAATAAAAGTGTGTAAACACATTGATCCCAAAATGAAGGACAGCATTCCCCTGAGATCCCCTGATTGCTGAACACTAGATTATTGTGGGTTTTTTGTGCTGACAGGAGTGGTAATGAGGAGAATGTGTGCATCTGAAGGATCCAAGAAGACAACTGACCCTCAGGAGTGCAAAATTGCCAGCTGACTGAAGCAGGCCAGATGCAGAGCCACTGATGGGCAGGTACTCTGAGTGTTTCATTGCAGGTAACTCACTAGTTCGTACCAGCTCTGTCTATGACACTGCCTGCCGCTCAAGACTGGGACCAGCAGACAAAGAATTCATCACTAACTCTGACAATGCTATTTTTATTATGCAATAGATGTACAAGTGTCTAAAGAACCGGCTGGTGCATTAGCATTCACTGACAGCTTCCACACACTCCAAGAAGTATATGACAAGGGTGACATATGGCTGAAACCATTTACATCCACTATCTTGAGACACAAAGCAAGTCACTTCCCTACTGCTGGTCACTGCTGTGCTGTGTTATACTCTCCCTTGCTACTGAAGTCACAGGTCTACATGACTGAAACCAGATAAGAAAAGCTGCACTCCTTCAGTGAAGATGTTCAGTTATTCCTGCACTGACTAAAGTGGGACAGAAAAGCAGTGAGGAAAACTCTGAATTTAGTCCTTACTGGACATAAACCAGTAACCACCTCAACTGCTACAGGTGAGAGTTATCAATAGAAGGTTCTGTCACTTGTAGCTAAGTACCAAAGAACTCACCATAGCTTTCAGGGAAGTGCCTTCCAACTAACATTATGTAAAACAAAACAGGTCTTGTGCTTTACTTGAGAGGAAAGAGAAATCCACAGCAGGAACTTCTTTTCTGAATGCAACATGGTGGCAGCAACAAAAGCCCTGCTAGCTCTGCCCTCACCAACATAAATGGACAGACTAACAGACCACAAGTTCCTGAGCTGCAGACCTATCTTCCAAGCACCCTGCTACAACACAACAGAGCTTCAGCAAAGTGCCAGCACAGGCGCTTCCACACAAATGGCCTCCAAGTGTCCCCAGAGGCACACTTGAAAGAGGTAAAGGAAGGATGTCAGGGAGACAATGTGGGTATACAAGCCCTATTAACACCATTCCTTACCATAAGAAGGACGAATGAGTACACAGATCTGAGGCCACAGAACTTACCATTGATCAGGAAGAAGAAAGCTCCTGTTTCATTGGCCACTGCTCGGGCAATCAGTGTTTTACCAGTGCCAGGAGGACCATACAGCAGGATCCCACGTGGAGTGGAGGCTGAAAGGCAAGGGACTTACATGTTGAGTAGTATCTGAATGCTTAAGCAGCTTCACAGTGAAATCACGAGCATTTGATAAAGCTAGTCTGAAACTGTGATGCAAACTCATGCAACAGCTGTCATGCCAGCATTGCTATCAACACCCTTACTGCTTCGCATGACACACAACAAAAACCTTGCCAGTAACTGGCAACGCTGATTCAAAGCATCAGGACTTACATGTTGAGTAGTATCTGAATGCTTAAGCAGCTTCACAGTGAAATCACGAGCATTTGATAAAGCTAGTCTGAAACTGTGATGCAAACTCATGCAACAGCTGTCATGCCAGCATTGCTATCAACACCCTTACTGCTTCGCATGACACACAACAAAAACCTTGCCAGTAACTGGCAACGCTGATTCAAAGCATCACTCTGCTTTACAGGCTGCCAGCACTTCAGTCTGTGTCCCAAACATGTAATCAAATACTTTCCTAATATCAGCATTAGGAAAAAAAACCCTGCCACAAATTACTTATTCCACTTCCAATGTCTCCTAAACCTCCATCCTCAAGAGTCATCTGCCAAGGCAAGGCCACTCATCCACCTGGTGCACACGGGGACCTACCTTCACCCCTATGGCCTTGAAGAGAGCAGGGTGTCGGAGGGGAAGCTCCACCATCTCTTTAATTTGAGCCAGCTGCTTCCGGCAGCCACCAATGTCATCATAGCCCACTTCATTCAGTGACTCCTCTTCATCCTGTGCAGAAGGAAATATATCAAACATTCAAGTGAAAACAATAGTTCAACAATCCCTCCCAGGGTACAGAAGCCAGGAATCCTCGTTTTGGCTCACAGACATTTCTTTGCTGTCTTGATATTCTCACTTCCAAGTCTTCCTAGTCTTCTACAGTTGTTTCTTAGCTCTGTCTTCCCAGACATACAAAAGGAATTGCCTGCAGGCAGTACTACCTTACTGAAGCCCACCCTCTGGAATGACAGGAAAGGTGCAGGTTCCCTAGAGACTCTAGCAGAAAAAAAGCTCTGTGACCCTCTGATGTGGCTAACAGAAGTAACAGACAACGTCAGTATAAAACACACTTACTCCTCAGGCAGAAAGTGCTGCATCTAACTACTTGACATACTCTACCTGCCATACAGTTCTCAGATGCAGTGTTGCTTTTTGGGACTGACTCCAATTAGCATAGAACGTTGTTAAGTTCCAGGCATATGGACAAGATCAGCTGTAGCCAACTCTTCCTTCACAGCATCCACTCACTCAGCTGTGCAAACCTACAGTGGCCTTAGCTACCTGTAACATTAAGCCACGCTAAACCAGTACAATAACGTAGCCTGGAATCTCACAGGGGCTCAGTCCAAGCCCCACCTACCTCAAGCAGGTCACTCAGGGGCTGGAGCTATCAAGCACTGAAGGTCTCCTGGTTTGGAGATTCCTACCCTCTCCGGCCCTGCTCCCAGTTTGGGCAAAACATTTTTCCAACTATCTACTGGGAATTTCCCTTGATTCAGCTTATGCCAGTGCCTCTAGTCCTGTCTCTGGGCACAGCTTTCAGAAGAGCCTGGTCATTTACTCCCTCCCATCAGGCAGCTGCCAGTAAGCCTTCCCTTCTCCAGGCTGCATCATCCCACAATCCCAGTCCCTCTTCATTCTTTCCTCCAACTCCTTATCATTTTGGTGGCCTTGGCTGAACTTGCTCCTATCTGTCTCTGCTGTGTCCTGAAGGGCCCACATTGGATCCACTGGGTGCCCAGATGCAATCTCATAGGTGTCACAGAGGTGAATGTTTCAGAAGAAATACAAATCATAAACCAGCACTCACCCTATCCGCAGGCAGTAAAAAGGCACTTATTCTATGAAGCTCATTTCCCTGAGATTTCCTACTCTGTAGCAATAAGGTGGCCAAGACCTGTCAGATAGGCCATTCAGGCTGCCTCAAGGCTGTGACACTCAAGGCAGTGACACTCAAGGCTAGACACCTTAAGGGACTGGGGAAGAATTCTCTTTTTCCAAATCAACCATCTGTGGATTTCAAATTTCTCACTGAAAAAGTACCAATTGCTTTCTTTTGACATGGCATGAAATTTAGCAACACTGTTCGCTCTCCCTGCTATGGATCAAGGGAACATCGGAATTAAAAGATGCGTTTAAATCCAGCATGAGATACGTGGACGCAGATGCAAAAGAGCTGCTACCAAAGCGTGGCACGTCAGCAAGCCCATGCACTGGCAGTATCTCAGCACATAAGGAAGGACACTGGAAGTACATCTTTTCTGACTGCCTTCATCAGCAGCTTATCTCCCGAAACTGGAGTTTCTAACCATTACATTCAATACACAAAATGCCAGAACTGAAAACACTGCTGCCCTCAAGCACTGGCTTGGAAACAGACTGGACAGAGGGGATGCAGCAGGAGAACCTCATGACAGGGTTCTGCTCACCTCTCGTTTGATGGGCTCTCCTTCACAATGGATCACTGTGTCTGGAGCCACTATGCAGTACGGACTTGGATCTGTCTCCACCACTTTGAACTCCACTGCACGCATTCCTCCACGTACCAAGAAGATGTCACCTGTAAAATCCCACACATCAGTGGCCTGCTGCAACCAGCATCTGCAAAATGTTGACCCAAATACTTCCAGCAGCCCCAGGGTTCAAGGAAGTGGGTCACAGGCAGACACTGCTGGCACTGTTCTAGATGTTAAGTTTCAGAGCTGCTGTGACCACCCAAGCACTGCTTAAGTTCTCAAATTTCATCCAGTAAAAACCAGCAAACAAAACTAGCAAACAATGGAAAAGAATACCCTGCCCAAATTCAAAACACAAAGGCAAGGAATCACATTTCTTTTCCATTCAGTTTCAACTTAACATTTCTAGAACAGGCAAAAAGCCCATACTTAATAAAAATTCAATTTGAATTTATTATAACTAGTTGCTACTAGCTGTAACTGTTTGCCTCCACAATAACAATCATAGAATCACAGAATCTGAGGGATTGGAACAGACCTTACAGATTATCTAGTCCCACCTCCCTGCCCTGGGCAGGGACACCTCCCACTAGACCAGGTTGCTCAAGGCCTCATCCAGCCTGGCTTTGAACACTGCCAGGGTCGGGGCAGCCACTGCCTCCCTGAGCAACCTGTTCCAATGTCTCACCAACCTCACCTCACAGTACCTTCTTCTGATATCCAACCTAAACTTCCCCTCCTTCAGTTTGAACCCATTACCTCTTGTCCTATCATTGTAGTTCCTGATAAAGAGTCCCTCTCTGGCTCCTTTGTAGGGCCCTTCAGTCAAGGTGCCAGCTGGTGTACTTGTCTTGTTTTCAGCTGGGATAGTGTTAATTTTCTTCTCAGTAGCTGGTTCAGTGCTGACCTTCTTCTGATATCCAACCTAAACTTCCCCTCCTTCAGTTTGAACCCATTACCTCTTGTCCTATCATTGTAGTTCCTGATAAAGAGTCCCTCTCTGGCTCCTTTGTAGGGCCCTTCAGTCAAGGTGCCAGCTGGTGTACTTGTCTTGTTTTCAGCTGGGATAGTGTTAATTTTCTTCTCAGTAGCTGGTTCAGTGCTGTGATTTAGACTCAGTACACAAATAATGCTGATAACACACTGATGTTTCAGCTGTTCCCCAGCTGAGCTTACCCTAAATCAAGCACTTTTCAGTGTCCTGTGCTCTGGCAATAAGCAGGTGCAGAAGAAGCCAGGAGGGACCATGGCCAGGAGAGCTGACCCAAACAGGTCAAAGGGGTATTCCATACCACAGAATGCCATGCCCAGAATATAAACTAGGGATTTAACTGGGAGATGCCAAGCACTGCTAGGGGACAGGTTGAGCATCAGTCAGCAGGTGGTGAGCAATTGTGTTGTACAACACTTGTCTTTCTCAGGTTTCATTCTCCCCCTTCTAAATTACAATTATCGTTATAACTATCATTATTATTATATTTCACTTTGTTCCAATTATTAAACTGCTTTTATCTCAAGCCACAAGTTTTCACTTTTTTCCTCATCTCCTCCCCATCCCATGTCCGGGTGGGGAATGAGTGGATGTGTGGTAGGTAGCTGGTTGCTGGGGTTAAAGGACAATAGTCCTTTTTGGCACCCAACATGGGCACAAATGGTTGAGGTTACAACAAATCTGAACAGAGCATGTTACACCACATGTAACAGAAGGGAACCAGAGAGGGATTCTTTATTAGGAACTGCAGTGATAGGACAAGGGGTAATGAATTCAGACTGAAGGAGGCAAAGTTTAGGTCAGATATTAGAAGCTTTTTACTATAAGGGTGGTGCCTGGGCTTAGGTTACTTTTGTGTAGTTCTTTGCAGTAGTGGCTTATGCTACGATGGCATTGCTGGTCGTGAAGCAAATCGGGTGCCCGCAGTGAGCACTGCCACCCCCTCTGTACTTCGGGAGCCATCCACTGGGAACTGTTGGTAACTGCACCTTTCCCACAGCTCCTTCCTCATGTCCTTCTCCAGGCTGGTTACAGTAGCACTTCAGAATTCAATACAAGCGCAACCAACCTGGTCCTTATCACAGAACATCCTGAGTAGGAAGGGACACACAGGGACCATCATGTCCAACTCCTGGCCCTGCACAGGACAGCCCCAAGGACCACATCATGTGCCTGAGAGCACTGCCCAAACTGCCCATGGAATTCTGGCATGGGAACCAGCATGTTGCTGAATGTGGTTCAGGTCGTTTAAGGTTAATAGTCTTTAAGAACATTATCCAGAGATGTGTCCAGACGATGGATAGCTATGAGTGGCAGGGTGTGTGGAATAGTATGGGAAAGTGCCTAGGACAGTGGTTACCTCCAACATTTTGAAATTTCACCTCGGGGGAAAAGGCCTCTGGATCTCACAAAAAAAATCAGCCACTGAGGCTGGACACTATCACACAGGCTATCCGTGAATGTGAAACATGTTCTCCTGTTAGGCAGGTGTGCTGGTTTGAGCTGAAGTAGAGTTAACTTTCTTCACAGAGGCTAGTATGGGGCTATGTTTGGGTTTTGTGCAGA